GTTTTTTTCTAAAATGCATTTTTACTTTGACTTCTCAAGGGAATGGGTCTTGTAAATCACGTTTTTACTGGAGACAATTTGAAGAAATTATATGTTTCAAATCTTGGAATTGGACACACGAGGTATGCCACTACAGGAAAATGTGAATTAGAAAATTGTCAGCCCTTTGTTGTTGAAACACTTCATGGGAAAATAGCTGTGGCACATAATGGCGAATTGGTAAATGCTGCTCGATTAAGGAAAAAGGTAAGTTTTTTTTTTTAAGGCCTTTTTTTTAATGACTGGAATGAGTTAATGAATCAAAGTTAAGGATCTTGGTAAAGGGCATTTTCTTTATTTTCTTCATAATCTCTAGTTGTTGCTACCTGTCACCTAATTGCAACAAACAATTGCATCAGAATTACCTGGAGTAATTGTTATAATTCCAGATTCTAAGCTATCACTTCAAAGTTGGGGGCCGGGATGAGAATCTGCATTTTAAAATGCTCATCTTTCAAATGCAGTGCTTTGAGTAGAGATTTGGGAAAGCTGATCTGTGGATGCTTCATTAAGTAGCAGCACAACTGATCAAATCATTGGCCATTGGGAGTGATCATCTCAGCCTTAGTCCTTCTCCTTTCCCCAGAGGTCAAGGGACGCAGCTGAAAGTTCCAACCCTCTAATCACATAGTTGATTCTCCTGGCAGCCAGCTCCCAGCCTGATGCTGACCAGAAGCTTCTAGCCACTACTCATCTCGTTAGCATACAAAAAGTTACTTACCATTTTGGCATTTCCAAAAGTTTTAGTAGCTGTCTGCCAGGAAAGAGCAGGAAGAAAACCAACATATGTGTTTCTTATATATCACAAAAGCATAAGAAAATGGAGTATAAACTTGAAGATGACAAATATGAGAAAAGATGAATTGGAAACAATTACAGGAAACTAAAATAGAGTCTAAGAGAAGGGACAAAGTGTTTGCCTATACTTTGTTTACAGAATGTTGTTTGGAGCTTTCTATACCAATGGTGTCAAATTTGTGCCTATGCCTCCATCATTTCATCTTTTTTTTTTTTGTTTTTACTACTTGATGTCTTTATATTCCTGGTAGCTTCTTTTTTATCCATTCATGACATTCATTAATTAATACTGAGTTTCTTCAGTTTATTAGATTACAGTAATCTGGATTTGGTAACCTCATAACCAGGTGATATTTATTTATTTTTTTATTTTTTTGTGTCCCTACCCCCACCCCCACGAGGTGATATTTAGTAATAGGATGGTTACACACCCCATTATCTTTTTAGCATTCTGAAGCCAGGCATTTCATATATGATGAACAGTTATAGAAGTTGAATAATGATGAACTGGTAGGTCAAAAATATCTAGAACCCATGCTTCTGTATCACTCACTGTCCTTCTATTTTCAGTTATAACTTTTCAGGCATTTCCCAGAGCTTCGCCCTGCCTTCTTCTTA